GTACAGCAGGGCCGCGTGCTGGCTCAGGGACCACAGGCCGTAGAGCGCGCTCAGCCGCTGGAGCACGGCCCGCAAGGTGGGGGGCACGCAGGGCTGGTGCGTGAACTCGTGGAACTTCCGCACGACCGTGAGCTCCAGGAACGCCAGGGCCAGGGAGCGGCTGTAGTACACCTGAAAGCAAACGCATAGGGCCATCCCCGCCGTGAGCCACGGCCGGGGACCTCCTGCACTCAAAGTAGCTGAGGATCGCCGTCCGCTGACGGCAGCAAACCTTGGACCTGATGCCTGCTGAGAACGCACAGCGAGGGCCGGCCGGGCGGAGGCTGCCGTCCTGGGTGGACAGCCCTATACCCCCAGTCCGTCCCCTCCCTCCACACTGGTCCCAATGCCAGCATCCGTCTCTCGAGCCCCCACGCCCAATGAACCTCCAGCCCCAGGAATGGACGTGATGAGCCAATTTGGAGCCAGGTGTGCATTCTAGTTTCTGAGGATGTTGCCACCTTAACACGTAATGGATACTTGAGATAAAAAACAAGCTCCAAACTCTCCCAGCCGCGTTCAGACGTCAGCCGTGCAGCACAGGGAGGAGCTGGGCCCTGGGGTCAGCAGGCCCGGGTCCAAGGCCGGCCCTGGCGCAGGTGAGCCAGGTGACCTGGGCGTCTCTCTTGGCCTCGATCTCCTCGTTCATCAGAGACGACGGTGTGAAATGACACGTTTTGGAGAAAAATGTTGTCATCTGCCTTCTGAGGCACAGATGTCCCCGGAGGGGGTCCCCAGGAACCCGGGTCGGGTGGGCTCCGGGGCAGGGGTGGTGAGGCTGGAAGGCGGGGTGGGGAGACCCCCGTCCTCCTTTGTACATTTCTCGTTTTGAACATGCGTCAGTGTCACCTGGAAAAAAATCACAGTAGACACATCTTAATTTCTTTCTAAAAGAACCTACTGTGTGCGCCTGGCTTGCGAAGCAGACAGCAAGCGGCAGGTGTTACCGGCGGCGCGGACAGAGGGAAGTTAAAAGCCTCTCTGCAGTGTCAGAGGGAACACGCGTCACACTTCGACTAAAGCAGGAAGTCTCCCCAGGGACGGCAGCTCCCGCCCTCCGTCGACAGCACGCGGAGTGGCCGCTGCCCACTGGACACCGTCCTTCGCCCGCACGCCCTGGCGCTGGTCCATGGCCAGAGACTGCAGGGCTGCCGCCCCTCTGTCCGCAGGACCTCACGGCGGGGGACGTGGTCGGGAGTCACGTGTCCTCTCCGTCTGCAGACTGCGTCCCGACCTCGTTCCCAGTGTCACTTGCCGCGGGGAAGGGGCACGCGTCCACCGTCGGAGCTGACGGCCCCCGGCCTCAGGGAGGCCCGCCCACGCCAAGGGCACACGCGTCCCCTGACGCCTGCTCGTGCGCTGCGCCCGCTCCAGCTGCCGTGTGGGACGGGACGACATCCCTCGGGACCCTGAAGGTCCAGCCCTGGGCTCTGGGCGCGCCCAGCTGTCAGACCGACCCCAAGCTCGGCCTTGAACGCTCGCTGACCCAGACCCGGGGTGGGCGGCACAGGCCCCCTCGGGTCACATCCTCCCTTCCGGGCCTTAGGCCACTGTCCCGTCAGCCACTCCGTGGGGCTGTGCCTCAGCTCACGTGTGCTGGTCAGCTCTGCCTGACTCCCTGGGGACACCCACCGGCCCCTCCATCTTCTGCCGCGTGACCCACTGGACACCGTGAGGGTCCCTTGGCGAAGGGCTAAGGAAGGTGAGCTACTTCTCAAACGAGCCACCGCCTGGCTTCCGCCGTGACGGCACACGTGCCAGGCGCCGGCACGGTGACGGGCAGTGCGGACGGAGCCACCGGCCCCGGGCAACTCTCGGGTCTGGGAGAGGGAAAGCGGGACCCCCTCTGTGCCCTCCACCTCTTCGGGGTGCCGGCTTGTAACTCAGGGCAGGGCCTCCGTTTCCGCCTGAAGGAAGACGATCTGACACACAGCGTTAGGACCGATGTGGGATGAGCGAGTCCGCAGCCGCCAGCGTCCGAGTGACCGAGCCTGCCCGGCCGCTGCCCACTCCGAGGGCAGTTCCATGCCCATTTCACGCGCTGCGGCTCTGAACCGAGGCGTAGCCGATCCTGGCCGCCGCTGGTTCACTTCCTTTAAGCTACAGGTTCGACGCTGGCTCAGTCGCCCTCGGCCCGAGCCCTTCCCGTCGACCCCATCCTCGTTCCTCGTCTCCACCCGGGCAGGAGTCCACCATTCCCTGGAGGCACTACCAGCTCTGCGTCCGCCCCAGGGGGCAGCTGGCCCTGGCGGCTTAGGAGGGCCGGGCTTTCAGAGGAGGCGGGCAGACAGGGACGGATCGACACCGAGGGGAAGGGACACCACCAGTTTGAGGAGCCTCGGGTGCTTCCCTTATCACGGCCTCCCAAGTGACAGCATCGGTCCAGGGACACGGACGTGTGGATCGCGGCCTGGCCCCGGCTTCACGGGCTGTCTCTCCACACTGCGTTTGCACGGGGCTCCCGGAACGGGGGACAGCCCTGTCCAGGGCGAGAACCAAGGCCACCCTGGGACCCTTCCCACCACAGCTCCCTGGGGAGGCGGGGCGGGTGACGACTTTGGAAAAAGAAAGGCAGAGCGCGGTGTGACCTCACATGTCACCGAGCAGCCGCTCTGTCGGTCAGGACCCGGGCTGGCGTCCTGGCCCCACAGTGTGTCTGAGGATCTGGCACCCAGCGCTCTACCCCCAGTCACCCCTGCGGGCTGACGGGCTGGTACTGCTGGGATTCTGTGATGCCCACAGTCCCTTCCACAGAGGCCAGCAAACCACGATGCAGAAGTCGGGCTGCGGGCCGAGGTCAAAGGGCTGGAGGGCTGGGCTCACCCCCTCCCCCAGGATGCCCGGCTCACCGACCCGGCGGCCCAGGAATTAGGAGCTAACAACACACTGGGCAACTTCTAAGGCAGACACGTACCTGAGAGTTGTTTCTGGCTGCGAAGTCGCTGCTCCCCGATCTCTTCTCTTCGCTGAGTTTTTGGTGAGTCTCTCGGAGCAGGTAACAGACCAGCCACTCATACGCTGCCAGGGGAACTTCGACGGGAAACAGAGGGAAAGCCACAGTCAGCATCGAACCACCGCCGAGGACCCACCGGGACAGGCACCGAGCACCTCGCCTGCGCACGCGTGTGAGGGCCTGGTCCTCGGGGGCCCACGCCCGCCGGGCAGCTGCTCTCGGCTGGGCGTCCCAGGAGTGGCTGGCCGTACGGGGTCTGCGCACACAGGGCGAAGGGCCCTGGGCATTTCCTTCTCTGCCACGCATGCCCCCGGAGGGAGACACAGCATCTGCGGCCGCAGACTCCGCCCGTTCCCCGGCTGTTCGGTCAGCGGCCCCTCAGAGCGCAGCTGAGTCCAGTGGAGAGCAGGCTGGTGTCTCTGGCCGAGGAGTGACGGCTCCGGCCACGTGCACAGGGGAGCCGGGAGTCTGGGCGGTTTCGGTGTCAATGGGTTGGTGGGCGGGGCCCAGGGGACCGAACCCCTTCCTTTCAAACTCCTGCCAGGTGTGGGGGCTCGAAAAGGTCCCCCCAAAGACATGTCCGCGCTGACCCTGGAACACAGGTGTGCTCACTTGGGAAGAGGGTCTCTGCGGTTGAGGGTCTCGCGATGAGGCCACCAGGGGTTGGGGTGGCCCTGCATCTTACACAGGGACAGAAGAGGAGACACAGACTCTGCGAGACCGCATGACGACGGAGACAGAAACTGCACTGACGCGGCCACCAGGAGCCACCAGGAGTCGCGGGAGGCAGGAAGGACCGTTCCTGGAGCCTCCGGAGGGGCGCAGCCCTGCCCGCGCCTCGATTTCGGACTTCCATTTTCAGCACCGACTTTGTGGGACTTTGTCACAGCCTCCCCAGGACACTGGCGCACGAGGTGGCCCAGTGGGCACCCGAGCCTTAGATGCTGCCTTCCATCCAGGACGTCCCCGAAGCCCGGGTCAGTGCTGGACACCAGTGCGGACACGGCAGGACCCATCTGGCGAACTCCTGTTCCGGAGCCTCTGGGACTGCCACTTCTTAACCACCTCCCGGCAGCAGGGACTGTCACCACCAGCAGTCAAGGGTGGGTGTCGCAGAGACGCAAGCGTTCCATGACTCATGGACACAGCGACACACCCAGGACCTTGCTCAGGCCAAAGCCGCTCACACACGTGCTGCAGCTGGGCCGGAGGCTGCCGCTGTCCCTCGAGGCCGTGCGGGCCGTCCCCCGACAGGGCCCTCTGTCCCGCCCCGCACCAGAGGCGCCGCGAAGGCCCCGGTCGGGGGCCGGTCCGGTGCTGTGCGTCCCGTGAGCGCGCCGGCTGCTGGCCCCGCTCCTTCGGCAGCTCCACTTTTAGAAGGAGCACGTCATGCGGCTCCAGCGTGCTCGGCGGAGGGGACGGTCCCCAGAGAGCATGGGAAAGCAGATGTGAACGCGGGTGAGCCGCGTGGACAATTCCTGGAATTTTTTGTAAGTGATAAATCGGTGACGAATGAGGTCGGGTGGGAGAACTGGCAGTGGTGGCCTCGCCTGGGGACGCCGTGCATGGCCAAGGACAAGCCTGCTCAGCACTGCTGTCCTCGAGGCCCTCCCGGGTCGCAAATGGCCTCTGGCGGCCTCCTCAGGGCTCCCCCAGCGTCCCCTCTGCACTCAGCGGCCCCCCAGCGGCCCCCGCCCACGTGGGGCCAATGACGCCCTCACACACGCCCCCGCAGCTGCCACTGTCACTGTGCTCGTCTCTCCTCGGCTGGCCGCTCCCGCCGGCCTCAGTCCAGGAGCTTCGGAACACGCCCATGGGGCCCTCGACTCAACACGCGACACCTGGGCTCCCGGCGTCACCAGGGGGCTTCGCTGGCCCCACCCTCTAATGGGCTGCTCGTGACCCTCCGTCCACCTCTGCCCGTCCCCTGCCCCCTGCGCTGCCTCTGCCTGGGTTTGGTTTCCTGTGTGATCTGCGAGTCCAGTCCAGCCCCAAGCACGCTTTCTAAGGCAGGGCCTGGCCTAGGGCCGCCCAGACAGCAAGGCCCGGACGACTGGGCCCAGCTCCTGGAGGGCACGTGGCCCCGAGTCTGGGCGCCACCTCCTGCCATCCACGTCCACGTGCCCCGCACGCCCTGTGCCCCGCCTGGCGCCTGCTCCCAAACACACGGTTCAGAACCTCCGACTTTCTAGAAGACAGCTCAGCTCACCCCCAGAGCTCTCTACATCTCTCATGCCCACGAGGGTGCTCAGCACGGAACCCCCAGCCCCGGGTCCCGTGGCCGCACCGCAGGGCCGACACCCGGGACCCCTGGGACGCGACCCCCCACCCTGCAGGCACATGCGCTGTCAGCAGCAAACACGCTGAGCCGCCGTCATTTACTATTTTTGCGAACGATCCGGCCGCAGGGGGAGCAGGGCCGTCACTCAGCGACGAGGCGGGCCCTCCGCGTGCAGACCGTTTGCTAAAGCCCAGCGCACACGCCTGTGACACGATCACGGGAACCTTCCGCTCCGAATGACCCTCTTACCCCCGAGGGAGACCCCCTGGCCCCCCGCACAGGCCGCCGCCCGCCCAGCCCCGGGGCCGTGAACCTGGCCCGACTCTGCACCAAAGATCTCGCTGGGATGAGGCCAGCCCGAGGCTTGGGGTTTGCCGATCGAATGCCCGGGGACGCGGGGCGGCCGTGGGCCCCGAGTCCCTTCTCTGCGCGTGCAGAGTCACGGGGGGACTCGGAGCCGAGCAACGCTCGCCAAACAAGTTTGAGTTGCACTTTTTCCTCCAGAAAACGTTTTCAGTGTGTTGGATTTTGCAGAAATTAGGGCCCTCGGAGGAGAAACGGGGTGCCGCGGGGGCTGTCCCCGCAAGGCGGACACGGCACGGGGCTGGCGGGCTGCACGGGGCTGGCGGGCTGCTTGTTTACCGTTTCATTTTACGACGGGCGGGGGTTTCAGGGAAGAGAACGTTCTGGCTGGGTTGGTGTCACCAGAACGATTAAGTCATGTTCTAGTGCTTTCTGTAGCCACAGCTGGTTGGGGAGCTCTGTGAGCATCAGGAGTGGACCTCCCAGTGGCCCCGTTTCCTATCCGCATGCGGCAGACCCGTTACTACCCTGGGTGCCGGGGAAGCTGAGGCAGGAGGGGTGGAACCGGCCCCCCGAGTCCCGCGGCGGGGGGTGCAGGGGCTGGGAACAGGCCCGGGCGGCCTGGGGGAGCCTGACGTCCCCCTCGCGGCAGGCGGGCTGCTTGTCGTTTCTAACAGGGTCAGCTCTGCCTGCAGATGCCTGCGCCGTGCTCCGTGCCCAGCCCCGAGGGTCAGCTCTGCCTGCGGAGCCTGCGCTGTGCTCCGTGCCCAGCCCCGAGTGCGGCCCTGGAAACAGGTGTTGCAGGTGGTGAAGTGAAGCCGGCTCCCCAAATGCTACGGGCAAGGTCACGACACCAGGGACACTTCCGCCGTGGAGTAAAGCTGCTGGTTTTGACGCAGGATTTAACAAAAGAGCAGCTGGGACCCTGTGGGAAGGTGCTTTCTTCGAAGCCATCGACCTCGGGGGTGGGGGGACACAGAGGAGCGGACCAAAGTCCCAAGCCTGTTCCTTCTGTACAGTCTCATCCTGACAGCCCATTCGGAAGCTTCTGGAAGCTGTAGTAACAATCCTGAGCTTTGGAGCACAGCGGGCTCACGCCCAGACCTGGCTCTGCACTCCACTTGGGACAGGCCGCTGGATGTCCCTGAGCCCAGGGGCCGGAGCTGGGGCACGTCGTGGGAAGCAGCCCCCCAGCTCTTCCCCTCGCACCCCAGCCGCTGCACCCTCGTCCCGGTGGCTCAGACTGCCCCCCATCCCCCCCGGCCCC